CACTTTGGAGAGAAGGGGTTCTTATGGGCCTCCTCCCAACGGTCACTACACGTGTCGCTCCCTCACTGGCTATAAGAACGGCCAACCCTGGGGCCCAATGACATGCCACCATTTCAGAAATGGGCAAGGCCCATTCCCAACACTCTCAGCCCACTTACAATGGAAACCAAATGGCTCAGCATTCAAACAAAGGCCACCTGCAACGGCCAAGGCATCCTTCGGACACGCCTGAGAAGAACATGGCCCCTCCACTCACAAGCTACGCCTACATCGGCCTCTAGCAGCCAAAAACCACTTCAACGGTGTTCCCCAAGGTTCGCCGGTATCGGCCGCACCAAGCACCAACAATATGGCCTCCACAACGGCCACAAAGACAAAGAGAAGCACGACCCAACAACCATCGGCCTCGTATTAAACCCGTGATGATAACACCTTGAAAGCGACCTGTGTCCAAGGGTTCTCCCACAGGGTTACCTTGATCAGCAAATCGCCAAGGGGTTGGATTTAAGGGAAATACGATGATCCCGTTTCGGCATGGGTCCTCATTACTCCTTCACCCCTCACTGACTCTTCGGCCTGAAGCAGTGGGGGACTGGGGGATTGTACCAGCCTCAAAACTCAAGCAAGAATGAAATTGAAAATCCAAAAACAGGCAAGTCCACAAACTACAACATTGCATCGTCCACACACCATAACGTCCAGGACCTGGTTGTGCACCCTCGGCCGCAACAAAGCAAGCAAACAAGGAAGCAGGTTCACCTCCCAAAGAGTGACGCGTCGTCCCTTGACGTGTGCCACTCAACGGCCTTGGATCATGAACTCCACCATCGGCCAAGATAAGAAAATAACACCCTGAAATAGCAAAGAACATTCATCATCCATGGGCACCAAGCCACGAAGAAGCCCGCCTTGGCCTAGAACACAAAAGGCAACCATCAACGGTCAGAAAGGAGAAACATCGCCCTCATCGGCCACTCAAACCAAGGACGCATATCGGCCACTGAATCAGGCCACTCACCGTCCTCAAATAAGCAAAACGCACACCATCGGAGGAACATTAGCCTCCCTCGTCCACAGCAAAGGGCATACAACGGCCAAATATAGAGAATAACCACAGCGTCCCCACGTCGGCATGAAACGTCAAAACTACAGAAATCTACTCTCCTTCACTTCGTCTGCATCTCAGCTTAGAGAGTGGGGGACTCCTGATGGAGTATATGGGTCCAGGCCCCAGGACCGACATACTCAGGAGAATAAGAGACACAGCTGTCACCTAGAGGGACCCCGTCGGCCAGATGACCTCCATCGGCCAGGAAGAACATCTACTTAGAATATGATACAGAAGCCAGGAGAACCGGATGTCCCCGTCGCACGGGTCTCCGTCGGCAATGTCTCCGTCGGCCGTGTCCTCGTCGGCCACGGGGAGCTCACAGAACAGGATTTCACACTTAATCGTTTCTACATACTTTGTATTCGGCCCAATAGCGGTCCAGTTGTAAATGGGCCTCCCAAGCCCAAGGCTTGGGAGCCCAGCCCATATTTCATCTTTAAATACTCCCCTTGGGGGTAGTTGTAGGGGTTCACAAATCATTTATTGCAAGGATTTATTGCACTTCTCTCTCTAGCTCTCACTTCTCTCTAGACAATTACTCTATCAAATACATATCGTTGGGAGCCAAAGCTGCAACATCTCGCACAGACGTGTGCTCTTACTCGCTAAACTGCATGTTTTGCCTTTACCTACTTCAGAGCATCTCCAATGCTACAATGTGCACGGTGCACATGTGGCATGAGAGAGATAGACACAAAAGATTGATTTTATGACATTTCTCTCTCCGTCTTTCCACGGTCTTATGTGTTTTTGGTAAGTTTTTCCCTGCAATGTCAACCACAATGTCTACATCTAGACATTGTGTTTGACATTGTGTAAAAAAACTTACCAAAATGATATAAGATTCTTCAAATAAGGAGAGAGATATTCTATTTATTGTTTTTTCATTGGCTCTCTCATGCCACGTATGCACCGTTAACGTTTTAGCATTGAAGATGCTCTCATAGAAATATAAAACACCATAAGGTGTTCAACATGACGGCGTGACATAGGCATTCGTTGGAGGTCACAAAATGTACTACTCCCTTCATCCCCTAATTACAGGGACAGAAGGAAGTGACACGCCAACCAAGACACAAACAACTTTATGATAAAATAACCAATCAAAAAGCAAAAATCCAGTCAGTACATCCCTATTTGTCCCTCATTAAATTTACTTTTTACTTTCCAAATAAGGTATGACACAATAATAGTGAGACATCTAAAAATGAAAAAATGGGACAACTATAGAGGGACCGGTGAGTATATAATTTCATGGAAAAAGGGTCAAATAGACCCTTCAACTATCATCAAACCATCACATAGACTCATCTACTAATAAAAACATCACTTAAACCCATTAACTTAAAAAACAATCAATTTAGCCTTATCTACCGGTAAGCAACCTTCTCAATTGGTTAAAGTTAGATTTGACTTTTTTTCCTTTTTCCTTTCCGTTTCTTCCTTCTTTCTACTCATCATCTCGTCCCATCGTCCTCGTAGCATCAACTGCACTTTTATCCCAACCTATTCTAATATATATACTTCCTCTGTTCCCTTTTAATTGCAATTGTCAACATTTCATGTTTGCCAACGCACACGTTTGACTACTAATATCTTTCATTCCTTATTAGTAAAAAATTTAAAAAATTCATATTTTGAAAATTTAGAATTAGAAGAATTTAACAATATTTTTTAAAAATTTAATTTATAATACATTAATTAATAAAATATAGTCAAAGTAGAATATATGAATAGTGTAAAAAGTCCAATGTTGCAATTAAAAGAGAACGGAGGCAGTATATATATAGAGAGAGTAATCTTCCGGTCAGGCCTTCTTGACCGGAACCGCCGTCCGGACAGCGACATTTGGGGCCCTTCCCGGTGGAATTTTTTTATAGAATTTTTATGGCATGTTTTTCATCAAGTCTAGTTTATCAAAAAAAATCCAACTAAAAATTCAATCGAGAAATCTGTCAAATTATTTTTGGAAGATAACTGCGCCCAAAATATACATATAAAACGCAGTTAACTTCCAAAAATTATTTGACAGCCTTCCCGATTGAATTTTTAGCTGAATGTTTCTGTAGATAAACTAGACTTGATGTGGAATATGCCATAAAATTTCATCAAAAAAGTCGACCGGGACGAGGCCGAAACACCACCATCTGGGCGTTTATAAAAATTTCTCATATACACACACACTCCTAGCCAACCCTGCCAACCAACAGCTCTCCATTGCCAAGCCCTGCAAAACTGCCGCTTCCCCATTCTTTGTCCCGTCCATAGACCTCTCCAAACCGGCAGCTGCCAAACACCTCGTAAAAGCCTGCCAGGAGTTCGGATTCCTTGAGGTGGTCAACCATGAAGTTCCTGCGAAATTCATAACCAGGCTTGAAGCAGAGTCAAGTTCTTCTCCTCCCAGCTTCTCAGAAAGAAAAAGCAGGGCCGCCTGACCCCTTCGGATATGGGAATAAGAAGATCGGGGGAAATGGCGATATTGGGTGCACAGAATAATATACGGAGTACTACATGTGTGTGTGTGTGAGAGAGAGAGAGAGAGAGAGACTGTGTGTGTGTGTATATTACTACATAAGTACATATATATGTATACTCTATGGGGGCGTTTGGTAGTTTGCACATTAAAACTTTGCATGTAAAGTTTAGGGCATGTAAAATTGTTTGCATGTAAAATAAAGATGCATCGTTTGGTTACTTATGTAATCTATTTTAAAATGACACGCAAAATCTTTACAACGTTTGATCATAAAAATAACTTTACACGTAAAATATTTTCCTTTGCTAGATTATATAATTCCAAATGCACGTATTGCCTGCTCCTTACTTAAATCTGGCAAATTCATTATCACCTGTAGTATATGTGGCTTAACATCATCAACAGCATTAAATCGATCAAAAAATGTTGTCGCTTTCTCAAACTGCTTGTTTGATGTAACACACATTTCGAGAACTGTTTCATTTTTTTTGGAACACTTCAACATGTTTATCAAGCTCATTCTTCTTTGACTTTTTTGATGGCTCCTCAAATTCCTTCTTGATGGAAATACCAAGAGTCCTCTTCTTATTTCTGCTAATATCGGACGATGAAAAAATATCATCATTCATAGCATCGAGATCCACAGCTACACCAAAAAAAAAACATCATGGACAACACTTTTTGGAACATGAACTCCTTCTTGAGGTGCACTTTCTTTTCCTAAACTAGTCACCATTTCAGTTGGAGACTCACATTTATCCCCAGTTGCCCATTCAGCGCCAAATAGTATTGACAGGTCATCAAAATAAGGAAATGACTTGTGTCTAAGATGAACTGACTCTTTATGTCCCTAGAATGACAATTTTGATTGAAAAATAAGAAAAAAGGTCACAAATAACGTATAACCATATTTAACACGTGCAATAATTTGAATATAATACCTTAATCCAAGAAGCCCAAACCTCATCATCACAATTAACCATTTTGGTTTCCTCATTCCAGCCAAAACCCGAAGCACCCCTCATCATAGAGAATTCCTTATATTGAGTTTTTAAATGTCTTAACCTATTTTTTATATTTGGATCTCCAAAAATATGACAACCAGGGATTTTTATAGCCATCCACTTCTGAAGCTGCTGATAGAAACCGGTTTTGAATCCATTTTCAGCTTTCCAACCTTGGTTGATCAATTCCAGACAACCTTCAATAAGTATTTTGTCTTCACGAGGAGACTATTGATGATTATTACGCTTCACTTTTGAACTCGGGGGTGTGATAGTACAATCTTCCATTGTAGACTGTATAACACAAACGTTAAGAACACATAAAAAGGATGGTGAAATATGAAGTCTTGCTTTATATGATGAGTTAATATAAAAAAAGTACAAAAACACATCCCAAAAAAAACAATCATTTAGATCACTAGTATTTTATTATAAATAACAACAAAGAGTAACAACAGCTCCTTCACAAAGTGCCAAAAAGAGTGCACATATTTCTTATCAAAAAATTAAGATGATTCTTAACAAATAAAAACATATAAAACCACTAATATGATTATTAATTCCTATTAGCTCGACGCTCGTTCCATATTTGTTGTGCCAAGTTATCCCTAAATGCAGTCCAAGCTGCAGATTGCTCAATATCTTGTATGCTTGGGGCATTCAACAATGGGTCAGAATCAACATAATCTTTCGGCACCTTATCCTCAAGCGGATCCTTTCGCATCTCCCTTGTTATATGATTGTGAAGTAAAGCACAAGCAGTTATGACTCTACAATATGTCTTCACAGGGTACCAAGATCTGCTACGAAGAATTGCCCATCTTATTTTTAATAATCCAAATGATCTCTCAATGACATTACGTGCACATGAATGCTTGTAATTAAACAACTCTTCTTTTGTTCTAGGATAATTCTGTTGACTCCATTCTTTTATGTGATACCGTTGGCCTCTATATGGAGCTAAAAACCCGTCTGCATTGCTGTATTCGACATCACATAGATAGTAGCAACCTTGAGGAACTACAAAGCCATTTGGTCGAGAAATTGCACTTCTTTATACCCTTGCATCCGCAGCAGAACCTTCCCACCCAGGTAATATGTAAATAAAATGTAAATCCCGAGAACAAACTCCAAGTACATTTGTTGCTAAATCACCCTTCCTTGTCCTATACTTAGGCTTTTCTTGTTCGGGGACATTTATCTGAATATAAGTTCCGTCTAGCGCTCCTAGACAATTCTACATATTAAAATAAAATAGCAGTGCTTTGTTAGTAATTGACTTATTTAACCATTTCCAAGAAAATAATGTAAAATTATTACCTTAAACCATTTCCAAGGATGTTCTTTACAATTTTGAGTCACCGGTTCAGCCTTCTTAAGCAAAACTTCATGCAGTATCAAGATAGCAAGCAAGACTTTATTAAAGTGTCTGCTTATTGTTTCACCGCTACGCACAAATTCTCTTTTGGTCACTCTAACTTTAGTATGATGAGTGAGTATATAGATGAATGAAGCAAGCATTTCCTCAACGGTTGAGTTCTTTGTTGATTTCAACATGCCAATACTTTCAACCATGTCACACAGCACGTAAAACGCTCTCCTATCCATCCTAATGTTATCTACACATTATATATCGTCATCCCAAATCATTCTTCTAAAATTAACACGTCTAATTTCATACCTCTCATAAGCACTTCCTTTTTGACATCTTTTCCTCTTCCTTATAATAAAAGTCTTTATAATATTCTAACATGGCAAGCACAACTAGTAGGAAGTTTCTAAAATTTAACGCAATAACATAAGCTGTCATGCACATTGTAATTTCGTCTTGTTCTGAGCAGTCCATGGTCCACACTAACACCAAAAGAAATATAACTCCATTTAATCAGTATATAATACATCTTTTTTATAAAAACAAGGGTCCATACTGCACTAGCTTCTTTCACTAACTAAATTGAGGGGTTTGACGGGTTTCGAACTTAAGAAAACAACTTTCAAATTGGAAGCTTTTGTTTTAAACGGGCTGTGAAATATCTTTAGAAATGATTGTATGGCTATGATTATATGGCTTGACTGAAAATTTCAATTTTAAACTTACATATTGAACAAATTATCAAAGAATATCACATCATAATCGCAATAACTTGAGGAATACTTAATATGGGCTCTTTCTGAACACAAAGTATAACTTGGAACTACAACCAAAACAAAATAATACGTATAAAGCAAGCCAATAACAAAAAATTACACAACCAGAAATTACCATCGTAATCACAGAAAAGTTGTTTCAATATAGAATAAAACTCAGAATATTTAATGAATCCAATGACAGAACAAACCAAGCACACATAACTACAAAACAGGGTAAATACATACATATATATTCGATTATTGGATAGTGTATTTGAGTAATAAAACGGTGCTTAAAACTAAACAATGGCCGCATATAATACAATTCAAACTCATCAAACCTCAAAATACAATTCAACCCTTAAATCCATTCTTCGAATATACAAATATATAGAATAAATCAAAGTTCATTAAAAAAATCAAGGTGTAGAAACTAACCTCTTGGTTAATCTGTAGTCACTAACGCAGATGGAGAAGAGAATCGATGATATGGTTTGACGATTTTTGTTATCTTAAATAGGAGAAAATATGAGGTTCTTGCCGCCAAGATTTTTTGCTTTACCGCAAGGGTTTTCAAAGTCCGCCTAGATTGGAATCGTGAATTTCAATGCTCCGTATAAGTATTCACTCTCTTAAAAAACGAGTGTAAACTAGTTTACCACCTTCACTTCACGTAAAATATTTTACATGGTACAGTGTAAAATGTTATTAAAAAAGTGTCCTACAGTTTACATTAAAAAATTAAAACAAACAGTGTAAAATGTTTACATCCCCACACTTTACATGCCAAATGTTTACTTTACGCCGTAACAAACAAGCCCTATATATACCTAATATAGGTATTCCTATATAATCCGGTGACATGGTATGTTTCCAATGTACTTTGTCTGACCATGGTAGCCTTTGTGGATAATCCGGTGAAGGGGCGGACGTGGAATGGTAATCCGGTGATGCACGGCCATGGAGGGTTGCCGAGGAAGAGGAATCTATAAATATTTCTTTGTCTAGGTTGCTGTGAGTTGAAATCTGTTGAATGCAGGAGGCCTAGGACACGTTTGTTGCGAGCGATGGGAAAATACGGATTAAACAAAGGGGATGGAAAATTTTAAAGAAGAAAAGAAAAACTAGCGGGGAGGTTGGGAGGTTGGGACGTTGGATTGTGGGAACTGGGAAAGAGGGAGTGGAGTAAGGAAAGCAAAAAAAGAAAATGAAAAATGAATATGTGAGAGAAAAGTAAGAATTGACCTGCTATTAAAGGTTAGTTTTAGGTAACACGACTCACTTGATTGTTTTTTAAGAGTAAATGAGTTTATATGATGGTTTTTATAGTATACGGGCTTAAGTGATCAATTTGCAATTGTAGAAGCGTCTATTTGACCCTTTTTCCATATATTTTGCTTTTGTGAAAATAGAAAGAACAAAAATGCATCCTTATTTGGTTAGTTTATAAAAAATTATGTGCTTCACTAAAAGAAACGGTAAACCAGTGACATACAACCAAACCAGTTCAATAACAACAGTATGACAACACCAAGCAGCAAGTCAACTTAAGATCGTTCCGAGTTTTTCACAAAGTAAGGACATAATGAAGGTTCAAATGTATCAGAAGAAATACAGGGCTACTACTCTTACTCACACAGTGCTTTACTCCTTTTAGCTGGTGGTCTCCACAGGGCTTGCATTAGTCAGCAGTCTAGCAATCTTGGCAGTGGGCATTAAGGGAAGATACGTTGCAACTCTATACCCCTTCTCAGCACCAACTTGGACAGTCTGGTTGTACTTCTCAGACAAGTAAGAAGCCGTTGGAGCAACGGCTTGAGCCACCTTAGGAACAAGAGGAAGATGATTGAGAGACTGGCAAGGTGACAAAGCATACTGTTCGGCTAGTGGTTCGTACTTGGTGTATATCCCTTTGGCAGCAGGCTCACACTGTGTGTACACGGATTTTGCCAATATAGCTGCAGTTTCTGATAGGAACTCTAATTTTATAACAGTAAACTGATCGTAAAACAGTAGAAAGGAAGAAGATGATACAGGCGAGGCGCTTCGGGAGGCCTCAACTCTCCCAGATCCCAATTTCCCAATTCTAAAATATGTCTGCCTATTAAATTCAGGGCCTAAACCCCTTTTATTCTACAACATTAAGACCACTATCATTCTTATTTTTAGTACTATCTAGGTCTCTATCATTACTCCCCCCTTTGACAAACACCTTGTCCTCAAGGTGGGGAGTATCTGAGTAAGAAACAGCCATGCCAGTACGTTTTATCCTTGCTCCTCTGCCTTCCCAGTACTTCAGCTCGGATAGTTTTCTATGCTTGGGTATCCACTCAATCTCTTTGTCAACATAGTGATCTTTTTGGCCAATTTCGTTATCTCCTTCACTGCCCCATGTCTGATCTCTTACAGAATCTCCGATTGAGAATACAAAGTCAGCTTCGGGACTGTAAGTCTCAGTCTTCACAGCAGCAACCAAGGAAGGTAACAAAGAACTTGGCACATTGCCACCAGGCCAACTCCATATGCATAATCCTTCTTCACCAACCTCATCAGTAAGAATCTTTAGTAATAACAAACCACCATCATCCACCATCTGACCAATAGCTGATGCATGCACAAAATCTTTGTTAGTACTCCGACCATAAGAGACTGCATCTCCAATGAATAGAACACCTTGATGATAACATTTTTGTATGAAATCCTGAATTATGGTCTCAAAGTACTTTTTATTGTTAGAATGATCAAACAATGCTGAAACGATATTCATCGCAAAGATTTGAAAATCTGACTCTCCAGCCAAACAGTTGAGCATGACACTCCAAACTCCTGGAGCCAGTTTCACTGTCAGTCCCATAGGTTGAAGGCCCTTGGCCGCCCTTAGTGTTGCATGTCCTTCCGCCTTCAACCCCTCCCTTAAATTAGGCTTCTCACTTAAAAGATCATACAGAACTTTATCTTGAAGAAAATCCTCAATATCCAGACCCAAAGAGCTCATCCTGATCATTTTTTTGATATGTGCCCTCTCTAAAACCACCCACAGATCATCACCCTTGTGTTCATTGAAAGGATCAAGGATGAATCAAACACTGCTTGAGAACAGAATAAGCAATTGTGGTATAATACCAACAACCTTATGGAAGTCCCTCAATCCTAACTTTAAAATATCACCATCATCAATATTGATCCTCCCTCTTTCCAGTTCCACAAGCCTGAAGAAAGCATCAAGTATGCTAGATTTCCCTTCCTCATTTTTGTTAGCTTCACCTTTCTCTTTAACTGTACAAGGTTGAACATTTACTTCAGCTTCCCTTCCTTTAACCCTTTTGGGCTTTAAAGATAAATTCATGAGTTGTTCCCTCTTGGAGATATCAATTCCAGCAATCTGAATAGTAGGGTCCAGATCCACACTGATTCTACTCAACAGGTAATCTTCACCCAATAAAGCAGGTCCAGGAAGTTTGATACTATAAATGATCTGATCTAGTTTTTGATCTGGTTCAGATGAATCAACAGATTTTGGCACGGCTTTCACTAGAGTCGAATAATAAATTTTATCACCTGTCCTTTTTGACTTATCTGCCCTTGTGACCTCCTCCTGCGCTTTAGGTTCTGACAATCTCAACTTAATGTTCATTGTCGGCGATGAAGTTCCTGGTGATCCATTTTCGGATTCAGCTTGGTCTAGGGTTCTGAAAACTGATGAGGCTTGCGCATGGTGAGGAATGGCTAGCGTCGACGAACTGTGACATGCGGCCAGAGACGACAATTTTGAACTGGTCGTTGATGATGGGTGAGGAGCGGCTACTGACAGCGAAGAGTCTGGCGAACAGGAAGAAGATGCTGGCGACTGCGTACTTGGACTGTGAGACGCAGCTTGTGACTGAGAAGAAACATGCGCACGCGAGGAAGCCTGCGAACTAAGCGAAGCAGTTCGCGATTGCGAACTAGGAAGAGCAACGGACGAAGACACCAGATTATTTTCAATCGGCCGACGGTGTCAAGGAGGGCTCCTCGCTCTGTCCGCTTGATTCTGTGAAGAATTTTGCCCAACTTATGGCGCATCTCCTTAGCCCAATCACTTTCAACCTTTTCAGCCATCTTCTCTCCTTTTCCGCGCGAAGTATCCTGATCGGATCTTCCATACTCCCTGCACAATTCTTTTCCGCCATGAGTAGACACACGCTCCTCAATGTTCGCGCGCAAACCAGAGGCGATCACTTTCCGTTCTGTCCTTCATATTCCTTGCGCTGCTCCATTTTTTTATCGCGTGACTTAGATCGAAGCTTCCCAGGACAACTGCTCTGATACCATTGATAGGAACTCTAATTTTATAACAGTAAACTGATTGTAAAACAGTAGAAAGGAAGAAGATGATACAGGCGAGGCGCTTCTAGAGGCCTCAACTGATCTCCCAGATCCCAAGCACTTACCACATTGAAATTTGATAGAACCATATTATAAAATGTAGGCGTTAAATTCGATTCGATTTTAGTAAAAAATGTAGTTAAATTCAATTTGATTCTGACCTTTTTCGGTTCATTATAAAAAAATATTATTCTCCTAAAATTAACACATTTTACTTTTAGTTATATAAAAATGTTCAAATTTCAAATCATGAAAATAATTATCAAAGTTACAATCATTACATTATACACACATGATATTCCAATGTTCAAATATCTCAATAATATTCAAGGCATCAATTGCCTAGCGAAAAAGTTTAATAGTTCCAAGGTACACATTCAGTAGCAGGTAGTTCAACTCAAATTTAATGTTCTTATATTAGTATTGCACCATAAGTAAAAAGTACGTACTAATAAACTGACCGCTAATAGTAGTAATTTACTATAAGCATATAACAACGTAATCAACAACAACATTAATTCATTTTTGAGGTGGACTCAAATAACAAATACAATTACAAGCAAATACTACTTCCGTCCTGCTATGATTGTCCCATTTTACCGTATACGTCTGTCTCACTAAGATTGTCCCATACCAAATTTGGTAAAGTTTGTGTGGTTCTAAATCATTCTTACTTTATCCTTACTTTATCAATTCAATATCAACCACATAAACCACTTTTTATTAATTTGTGTGTAACTCCCTCTTGTCTCATTGTTAGCGGGACGAAGGGAGTAATAAGTATAAAAATGGACTAAAGTAGTAAAATAACAACTATTCGGATTGACCTGGTCCACAATATATAAGGTATACTATGCAAGACAAATATTTCTGTCAAAAATTTCCTAACCGGAATGCCATCTCGCCACATTCATTTGAGGTGCTTCCGAGTAGATTTTTTTGATGATATTTCGTGAGCATTTCTACATGAAGTGTAGATTATATCCATCAAATTTCAACTTAAAATTCAATCCGGAAGTGAGTTAAATAAATTATTGAAAAACATTGCCTTTTTATAAATATATGGCGTAATGTTTTTCAAGTTTCAACAATTTATTTAACCAACACCCCAATTGAATTTTAAGCTGAAATCTAGTGGTAATAATCTATATTTCATGAAAAATAAGGTCATAAAATTTCATCAAAAAATTTCACCCAGAATCACATCAAATAATATAACTCATGCAAATGTATAAGAACTTCGGTTCCTGCATGGGAACCGGAACTGATCTGGAACCGAACCGAAACTAAACCGGTCAAATACTATAGGAAACGAACCGAAAAAAGCAGAAGTCCAAAATTATAAGAACCAAACCGAACTAGATAATTTGGTTCCGTCCGATCCGTTTTCCCGATTTTACGGTTCCAAGTCTCATGCCTAAATGTGATCACTTGAGACTTAGTTTGATGACTAATGTTTTATAATAAATATCTGTAGTATTTAACTGGCTACGAGAGGAAGGGTGGAACTTTGTTGATGTGGAGTCAAATGCATCCGAGCCTGCGAGCCATTCTTATCTTTTTCTTTTCATTTAGTAATTTCCCAGTCAAAACCCTTTTTTGTAAGGTTTCCAACGTGACTTTAACATAAAGTCATAAAGACTTTAATATTGACTAAGCATTTTCTAGATATTGTACCATTAAAGCATTCGTAAAGTGAAGCTATTCTAGAAGTCAAGACAGATCAAACAACCAACTTTGTCTATCATTTACTAGTTAGTTAAATAAATCATAATCACCAAGCCTTGAGCATAGACATACAAATAACACAAACACCCAACCCGAGTCATCGTCATCAAAAGCCTTTATAATCAAAATCTGGAGACGTGCACGCTCTGGAGTGCTGGTTCATCTGAAAGAAATTAAGATTGGTTAAAAGAGGGGTATATAATGTGTGTACAAATCACCAATAAGTCAAATACTCTTTGGCTAGGCACAGTCTCTTCTTTAGAACTCTCCTACTCTATCCATGGCACTACTGCTAAAACGCAAATAACATTGTAACAGGCAAACAAACTTACATAAAGATTAAAAAGAATGCTTGCAAAGACAGCTCTTAATGATGGGGTGGTGTTGCCTCTACAACAAACTCTGGATCATCTTCATCTTCATCATCTTCTTCACACGCATCTATCCAGTTGTTTGGATGATATTGAGAAGCATGACGCGTACTTTCTGTCCTGCCTGCAAATAAAACAAAAGAGAATCGCTGGCTCCAATAGTTATTCTGACAAGGATTTAGATGAATGGTTCACAATTGAAGTATGGGCAAACCTTGTGTCTCCTTTGTGTGATCTGTTTCCTCATTATTGCAGCTAAGGTATTTAGTTAAGAAAATGTTACTTGAAACTTGGTGATTTAAACTATATACATAAAGAGTAATCTCGTTCCCAGTGGAACTTTTGATGAAATTTTGTGAGCATGTTCTTCATGAAGTGCAGATTATATCCACAATATTTCAACTTAAAATTTGATTGGAAGTCCGTCAAATGTGGAATTGAAAAACATTGTGTTTATATATATAAAGCACAATGTTTTTAAATTATTTTATTTAACTGCCTTCTCTATTGAATTTTAAGCTGAAATTTGGTGGACATAATCTACACTACATGAAGAACATGCTCAAAAAATTTCATCAAAAATTCCACACGGAGGAACCACTTCAAAATGAGACGGCCGGATGGCAGATCGTGTCAAGCCAGCCTGACAGGATCATTCCTCTACACTACATAAATACATAATACATAACAGCTTTTTAGATCTAAAGACTCGTTACCACTACCTCACTTGATTATATACCTTGATGGAAAAGGCTATCTTATGGGTTTTGTTACAAAATCGCCTTCTAGATAACAGATCCGGAGCAAGGAACAGTGTTTTAAAATTCAAAAGATCTAACATGTAAGATCATCTTATATGTGCCACCCCCCATTAAGGAAATTGCAGATTATAAGTAAATGGTCAAAGTTTAAGAAAAAGCAAAAAAAAAAATTGCAGGATACTTGTTAGCACCAGAAACCACATTTCCTGTTGTAGCTCCACCTCCAGAAATGTTAATGGAACCGACTCTCAGAATCTCTTGCTGCTCATTAATAATCTGGTTTCTACCACTTCCTGTTAAAAATTGGTATGAAAAAAACATTAAAAAATGTAGACTGGTTGACATGTGACAAAAGGGCATACAATTAATTACCTGAAAGGTCAGACCAAATTCTGGTGTGATCAGATGGGGGCTCAGAATTATCCCCTCTTGACCCATCATGTGTTTCGGCCCCTTTTGACTGATCAGCAGCCTGACCGTTTGAATTCACTGCTTGGGGACCGCCTGTGGAGTTCACATTATTGATTTGTGATGTGAGCATGGTCGCAAGCACCAAAGATGCATCAAAGTTTGAACCAGAGCCATCGTCTAAACCAAACTTCGGTTCCATCAGAACTGGCCTATATGACAAAATTCAGATCAAGACTTTGATAAAACATATACATTTCAAAGGGGCTTGAAAAGTAGCAGAATAACAAATTATGGAATTATTCTAACATGAATAGCATTATGGATAGGCAACGATGTGTATATATATTTATACTACTTACTAGTATTATAATTTTGTGTGTACAGATATTGGATCAAATGAGAAGATGCCGTTAGGGTCCCTCCTCATAGAGATGGTGAGATCTCCCAAGAGATGATGAAATGCTTCTGAAGGCTCTTTCCAAGTGGTGATAATTATGATAAGGTTTTGGATAGTTTGCTCCATTTTCACTTAAGATGGGGCCTTTTGCAGATATCACATATCTTTTAAAGAGGGAAACACGAATCCTAAAAGTGGTTGGGCTAACTTTGATTATCAAACATTGATATCCTTCAATCATTTGCTTTTAGAGTTCTTGGCCAACCCACGTCTTCATCTTCTTGTGAACGTAATTGGAGTACTTACTCTTTTATCCATCACTTAAGGGGAACAAGTTAACTCCTAAGCGTGCAGAGGATTTGGTGTTTGTGCACAACAACTTTCGCCTCTTGTCAAAGAGTTCTGAGCAATACGCATATGAGACAAGTAAGATGTGGGACGATGTTCGAGGAGATAAATTTGGAAATTTGGAAGAAATGGGTTATTTAGCGTTTGCTGACTTATCCTTAAATGAGCCGGAATTGGAGAGTGTGTTTATCACTGAATGAATCAATGAAACATTTACTTTTTTTATTTTATTTATTATGCATGTACAATGGATTATAACAAAGACGCATGTTTTGTTTAATTATTTCATATTTATTGGACGTAAACATTACCTATATTTGTAAATTTTTAATTTTTTGTTCGCCGTTTCCTTGTCGTACCCGTATCTTGATATTTTGAGTTTTCACATGAAAAAAAAAACTTCTTATTGAAAAAAATTCTAATATAAATATAACTGAACACATCTTGAAGCAGATAGTTTAAGAATCAGAATGTAATAATCTTACTCTGGAGCTTATCATTGGTGAATGTAATTTATTATTTATCATTAATAAAATATTTGTTGTTTTGTTTCAAAAAAGTCTTACTCGCCGGCCACACTGAAATGGAAGCGTACATCAACTTCACATCCCTCACAGAACGAAACAAACGCCTGCAACAGAAATTCATAGATAAAACCAGTAACAGGTTATATTCAGTGGATATTAAAGAGAACTCTGTAAAACAGAACTGATGGCGCAATCTTAATATCTTTCATTCTTTATGCAGCAATATGATGATTCGATGAAATTTTTAAGATGCAAAGCAGTACACTTAAAAAATGTTTAGTTTGCATACCTTAAAATCTTTCACTCCAAATGTCACATCTACTGGATTTCCGGTGTGGGTGTACTGCAAAAACTCTTCTGTGGGGTCTATCCATAACTGTGTGTGCAGTGATGAATCATTTTCTGAAGATGAAAGTCTATCACTTGAATGCACCCATGAGTTAAGGATATAAGACGAAAAAAGAAATAGGTAATTGGCCTTAAATTACCTTTTGTTGGATCTATATAGCTTCTAAGCTCAACACACTTTCCTCCAATTTCATTTTCAGCATCAGAAGAAGGTAAGGAGGAAGGTTCGGTTGCTATTACTGTGATCTCCTGAAGGTATGCCTGAAAATTAGATAATAACCTATTGAGATCACGTGGTCTCACCACAAAGTTGCTAGGAAGCTTGCTCCTATCTAGGGATAGCTGTTGTATCTCAGGTCTAACATTGCAATTTGTCCAATAGGCTTTCCTGATCCCTGGAAATTAGCATATCATTTCAAAGTTTAATATTTCAAGACAGTAGGAATAGTTAAAGAGGAATGATGCTAAAAACGCAATGTGAAATGTGTACAGTAAACAAAAAATGTTCCCTTCCAAAAAGCCCAAAACAAATTTACAGTGGTAATGTGACTGTACGGTTTGAATTCCAATTTTCTAAGTCGCATCGTACAGGAAATCAGCAAATAAATGATACAAAACATAACAATTCACATAGAGGAACTAGAATCTAACATACAAATAAACTCACAGCCAAATGTCTGTCATGCCAAATCCACATTTATTCAACTAAATGACTAATGCTATTCCTTTCTTCTCTATAGTTTTTCACTTGAATTACAGTTACCTTTAAGCATAAGAAAAGCTCTTCAGAAATGCAGGAAGTAATATATACAAAAGCCTTCAAGTAAAGAAAAAACCTACTACCATTGTAACAATCCAATGTCCACAGCAACTTAGATGCATCAGGATCAGGTAACGACACAGTCAAATGGTCGATACTAGCAAAGGGTGTTCTTAATACGGAACAAACAGCCTGCATGCACCAGTTTAATTCATTCTTATCACAACAATCTAGTTCTGTATAGACCAGAAAAACAAGACAGATATTATCGAAGTAATACCTTCAAGAGAACACTACATTTCACCTGGTCAGCTGACACTGTGTAGACATTAAAAAATTCAGGCTTAAATGTGATGGACAGATGAGCAGTCCTAGATGAATTTAGTGTGACAAGAGTAAGCTGCAAAACAGAAAATTAAAATAAATAAATAAATTTTATATCCAACGTAGTAGAATCACTATCTAACATAGTGATTCCCTATATCCAGTTCGCAAATTCCTTCAAATAATCTGGAGATGACAAAATGTGTGAATATAAAATGAAATGGATCACTATCTGATGAACTCCTTTCTCATACTTTCTGACTCGTGCGGAGAATGAACAAGTTGTACCAAATATACTAAACAGTTCCTAAAAACACATTTTAATTTTGTGGCAGCAAAAACTATACTTCGTATTGATATGCATTTGTGAAGTTAAGTACTTGAGTTTGACCTCAGCGATTTACATTGTCCCTTATATCATCATTTTTTCAGTTTTCGTCTTCTCCTAAAATATTTGTCCTTTCTTTAAGAAAATAATTATGTGATTGATATTGTTCCCCTCCCTTCCAAGAAAAATTCAACCGCGCCATTTCCGCTCTATTAAAAATCGGACTATTTGACAATTTTAATGCTCCAACTATTTTATCAATGACACTTTTACTACTCAACTTTGAGTTCTTTTATTTTTAATCCACTGACTATTGTTGCAGATGCTTTTTGTACTTATTTTTTAAGACCTTCCACTTTTAGTCCTACTTTTGAAGTCACACTTTGTCCTTCACATATGATGTTTGCAAAATAAGTGGAGGACGAAAAGTGTAACGGTACCACTCTCACAATAGTTGGAGGACTAAAAATGGAAAAAATCTAGGTCCCAATATTGCCTCCATCTCAAAATAGTGGAATGACTAAAAATGAAAACTCAAAGACTAGTAATAAAGTGTTAATCACATAATAGTAGGAGGATTACAAGTGTCAAAAGCACTTAAGATCGTGCAAAAACAAGCAAGTAGATAAATTAGGGACTAAGGTACTACTTACCGAGGAGTATGTATTTACTGAATTGCTCTAAACCCTAATTAGCAAAAATGAACAAAAGCTTTCCTCCTTCAGATAGTGTCCCTGTATGTATGTGTGTATGAGTGTATGCATGTGTATTCATTGTCTACTTGATGTGTGGAAGAGAAAAAATGCTAAAGTTTTTGGAATAAACAAAAATAGAAAATTGTCGATGTCCAATGGGACAGAGGGATTGTATTTTATCGTTAAAATACCTATGCTAGTTGTTCAATTATACTTGCACCTAATAGTTGAAAAGTACTAACAGTTTTATTAATAGTAAATTCATCAACAGAAGGGGAAGAGGATCAAGAGATAGAGAAAAACCAGTGAATTGGATGCTTGAATAACAAGCTCGTTGCCAATGCGAGCCAAGCATGTCATGGACCGAGAGAAGGTTTTGAGTTCATTTCCACTAAGCTTAAATTCCATTTACAGGGGCAGAGCAGAGAAGGAACTAGTTTGGTTGGGGATTTAGGAGGAGATGAAAGTTGAGGGATCGTATTTAGCTTTAAAATTATTTTTACATTTAGAAAAAATGAATAAGTTAAAAAAAAAAGTACGTAGTATTCACCGCATAGCTACGTCATCGGCCAGTCAGGCAGCGACTACTGCCCGCCTCGGTGGTCATCCAGTGACTTCGGTGGGTTACGATTGTTGCCCCTAGAGCATGAAGAGCATGTGGTGGAAACGGGCTTCGGCTCACTTCCGTGGGTCGGTTATGGACCGGGATTATAGTTTTATTTATTATTATTATTATAAAGTTTGTGTTGTGTTTTTAGTTTGGGCCAATTATTAGTAGAGTATTTAGTAGAGTTAATATGGGCTTAATTAGGATTTAATTAATTTGGGCTCGGTTAGCGTTTCTCTTGAATCTATCATTAGAATGTTATTTAAACCTCTCGTAGGATTTATTCTTCTTCATCTTGATTATTCTTCTTCATCTTGGAATCTATCGTTGGATTTCATCGTTGATTATCTGGGCAACGATTTACTCCGTTGATTTTATTTTTATGTTCTCAACAATTGATCCGATATGACGGATCTCGTCTCACCTGAATGACGAGATCTCGGAATGATCGCCTGACAGAGATGGAGGCTGAGCAAACTCGAATGAATCAAACCCTAGAGAAATACGACATGCGTCTGACAGAGATTGTTGCATCCCTGGTAGCGCTTACCAAGGCGCTCGTTCTGTCGGTCACGACGGAATCAAGCTTGGAAGCAGTCAGTAGCATCGCCATAACTGCTCAAAACGGCGACGGACTACCGCGCAGCATCGCCCCAAGCCTTCAAAAATGCACACGACTCTACACACGGAGTGTGAATGACCGTGTGCACAAGACATAATGTTCAGAATGTACACGGCTCTGCACACGGTGTGTGGACGATCGTGTGTACGTAATAGAATCCTCTATGGAGCACACGACTCTACGCACGGTGTGGACGGCCGTGTGGGCGGTCAAAATCAATTTCTTCACTTTTCTTTTAAACAAATGGCCTTTAAGTCTCCGTTTGATCATGTGAGCGATCCAAGAGCTCTTTTGTCTTTAAAACCTTGTCTTTAACGCCTCGTTGACCTCCAATGCTCCTAATCAACTCTCAATTGCCTCTCGACTCATTCTGATAACTTCTCGAACGCCGGTGTCGGGCATAATTCCCTGGTTTGACAAATGCAGACCAAACCTAGTAAATTGTGACTTGAGCTAATTAAACGCTTTGTGACTCATAAAGATTAGGAAAAGTGGAAAAAATAATCCTAACATGAATCAAATGCGTGTTGAAATATGAACTTATCAAATTCTCCGACACTTAAGCATTTGCTTGTCCTCAAACAAACTGAACGTTGGAACTTACAATAATCACCACACGACATTATTAACCATCATCATGCACAAGTAGTTAAAGGGATACTCATAGGAAAGACAAAATAAATCAAGAAAACTCTTCCCTGAACTACCTCTTTGTGCTCTCGCTAAAATTACTGACAAAATTAATCACAAAATCCTTGAATTTAAGGCATCACACAAAATTAATCTTGCTCCTGATCAGAATGACTTGTGATGGTGATGGTGAATGATGAAAAAGCATATTTCCCTGAGAGTTTGGAACAACCTGACAGTGACTCAATGTATTCGGGAGTTCCAGGGCTATTCTTAGGAACAAGGAATTCTGCAAGACACTAATTAGGAACTATCATTCATATCTATGTAAGAAGTAGACACGGTGTACAACTAAGCTAAATCATCGTTGCACATTGGTGTTTTGACGTATACTTGAAGTATGTGAATGATTAATGCTAAACTTGCAGAAGCCTTGAAGTCCAATTTTAATCAGTTTATTTTTGCTTGTCATGTTGGCACAAGAACGTCATTTCTTTCTAAAGATCTCGATGTCTCATCTTATTGTGCAAACACTTACGCTTTTTTATCGGGTCTCCCATTCTCTTTTTCACAAGGTAAGAGGTCTAGCTATATTAATTAATATTTTTTTCTTTTTTCAGATTTTTACTAGACATTACCCCATTCTAATCTCGAACTCTCCAAAGAAAGTTTAGCAATTAAAGTTCATTAGTCAGGTGAATCCATGCCTACAGTGCAATCCTCAAAATACCAATTTCCTAAAAAGTGACTGCACTTACCCCATTTGGGGCATAGGAATAATGTCAAAATTGGCTCCTACAAAACTCCCTAACCTTAACAAATTAATCCTCTAACGCCATAAACACCAAAACTCTGTCAGAATTATTCACGTGTAAGAAAACAGGTCATATGACAATAGAGCTCATATTATGGGTAAAAGAACAGAAAGGTCATGCTCACAATGGCTTCTCATAAAGGACTAATTCAGGTGGGATGGTAAAATAATGAATTAAATGGGTAACTAATGTGCCTTCTTCATCTCAACAACAAGATTAAGGGTATAAGTAATTTAAGCCTAAAAACTTCAAAGACATTCTAATAACATAGTCACCACTCTAGCCAGCTCACAATAAAACTGTTTAAAGAAAAAATTTAACAAAAATCTGACATGACTTTTCTAAGAATATACAATTAACGCATGTGCATGCTAACACTAGAAACATCACGTAAAAACTATTGCCTGAAAGCCCAATGCACCGCTGCACACTTAAACTTTGGCATCACCCTCAATGACCAAAATGTGCAATATGAACCAGAGGTAAAGAGGAATGAGTCACGCGTGTTCACTAGCTCAAGTCAACCAAACAAAACATGCAAGAAAAAGATAAAGAAACTTCCCTATGGCCTTGTTTGGTCTTGAACCATAATGAGTCAACGTAAGAAAACAACTTCACGGATAAGAAAACAGGCCATTTGGCAATAGAGCTCATATTATGGGTAAAAGAACAGAAAGGTCAGATTCACAATGGCTTCTCCTAAAGGACTAACTCAGGTGGGATGGAAAAATAATGAATTAAACGGGTAACTAATGTGCCTTATTCATCTCAACAACAAGATTGTGAATGTAAGCAATTTAAGCCTAAAAACTTCAAAGACATTCAAATAGCATAGTCACCACTCTAACCAGCTCACAAAAAACTGTTTAAAGAAAACTGTTTAAAAAAATTGTTTAAAGAATTATACAAAATCACCCGTTTTCTTTTCTGCAATAGATCAAAGCATACTTAATTTCCTTCCATTCAAGCTAATTAAGGTAATTTACTTCAATAATTAAATTCTACGTCATTTTTGTTGATTACTTCACAAAATCTTTGTGGTTATATCTTCTCAAACGCAAGTCAGACATGTACTCAATTTGTAATAGGGAAAGTTCTCGAAATAGGACTAAAACAGTTTCAAAATTCCAAAATATGAATGTCATGTTTTTTATTTCCAAAATAGAACTAATTAATGGCATGTTTAGAAAATACTGACATGTTTGAAGTCTGGTACTGCTAAAACATGGTAGTAATTAGTCATATTTTGGGAATAAAAACATGACAGTCCTAGTTTGGAATTTTCAAACTGTTTTAGTCCTATTTCGGGTAATATCTCTTTTTAATAACTTTGGTGTCCTTGTTGAAAATAATTACATAACATACTAAAATATGCCCATTATATACAGATGGAGGTGGGGAACATAAATCTCTTACTTCTCTTCTAGTTACACATGGTATACAGTCTCATATCTCCACCCTATACTCCATAACATGTTGGTACAGCTGAATGTAAACATCGTCACGTGGTAGACCGTAGACAATACTTACTTTACTCTTTGAAGCAAACATGCCTCTCTACTACTAGCCTCATGCAGTGGAGGACCTAGGGGGGCCTGGGGGGGAGTGCATCCGCTTCTGACTCTGAAGTTTAGTATTAGTACTTAAGATAAAAATTGTGTCTCCGCTACTCGAACAAAAGAATTAGAGTTTTTCCATAAATATTACAAAAATATAATTAATGGACAAAAATATTACTATAGTTATTATGCAAAGTCATTATACTGATAGAGTTGACACAATCATGGATTCATGGTCACTAAAATTACTATGGTAGTTACTAAGTCATATTTTTGTCCACTATCTTTATTTCAATCATATCGTCATTATTTCAAAAAACTATTAGATATATAGGACTCTTTTGAAGATATATAACAATTCTAGTAAGAAATATAAACAACCACGAAGTTGTGGTACGGTGGAGCAAATCCTGATATGGTTACTACACATTATATGAAAAGTGGCCTTGATGATTTTTTTACTTAGTGTAAATAATATTTATCCAAAGTTAAAGGTCAAATACGTAGTATATGCCAAGGATTCTAATATGTGGATGAACTTAGTAGATTGAAACTTTTATCTTGATAAAAAGTCCATACATGAAAAAGCGTGTCAATTCGCCATAAAGTTGTTTCAAATCGACATACCCTTTGATTTTTTTATCTATAGTATGATAGAAGTTAGATATATAGAATCAAATTATTAAATAAAGTTGTATTTAAGGATGAAATCATAAACTTGGTTTATACTTTATTTTTAACACCATAGTATTATATTTCAGACAAGTACCAACAAATTTTGTGGCACAATGTGTAGTATTCGACATGATCCTAGTTTAGATCTAAAATCTTGATCATTATATAGTATGAAAAATAACGAGAATTCTAATGTAAAACTAGAAACGGCACAAGGATGAATCAATTCTAATCCAAATTGTGTGTTTCTATCAAAAAACCAAATATTATTGTTTAGAATTATGTTAATGTGTTCAAAATTAGACTTATAATGCATACATGTTCATTGTTTGAATCCGATATTGAATAATCTATTTCAAGTTAAAATAACAATTTGAATGCAGTTGATAAAAAAGACCAATGATACACCCGATTCGACCCATTTTTATTTATGCGGGAGTGCCCTCGCTTCAGAAAACTTCTAGGTCCGGCACTGGCCTCATGCTTCTCATGCTTCTCAACATGCCACTTATCTAATAAATCGTATGCCTATATCCACTCTTCACAATATGAGTCCTTATAAAAAATTGTTTAACATGTCATCGTACATTCGTACCTGACTATACTTCTTTAAAAGTATACTTCCCAAACTTCCTCACCACCAAAGAGTCAACCTCTCCCTCCCAATCTCTCGCCCTTTTCCTTATCTACCACATCACCGCAAATCCTTCCATCCCAGTTTCCCATACAACCTAATCCAACCCCATCTCCAATACAAAATAATCATCCTCAGTCTCCCATACCACCCGATCCCCCTCCTCCAATCTCCTCTACTCCTACTCCTCCCCGTCAACCATCCAAACTTGTCCCCCGCTCTCAATATC